TGACCATCGTGCTTCCTGAGGATTCAGAAGACTCTGAGTTGGAAGCTGAAGATGTAATGCATGAGGTAGAATGCCTCCTTGAAGAAGTGAGTCCACAGGGCCCTCTGACATCTTCCAAAGGAAGGTCTTATCTGAAGGCTGGAAGGATAATCAGGATGCCACCTGAGTGCTCTGTCCCTCCCCAACTTATGGTCTGGCCCACCAGAAATAAGTACAGGTTATTACAAGCTGGTGGTGAATATGAGCACGTCGTCCCTGTGGTTTACCAGTTGAAACGACAGGATGGCTGTGAAAGTACTGGTGTCACCCTCCGAAGAAAACACACTATGCCCAAGCCAGAGGGACTGGAGTCCAGGAGAGCCTCTCACAAACCATTGGAATGTTAAGTGACTAGTGGGTTCATCCTATCTGGTTGTCTGTGGCGGTTCCATACTGGGTCCTGGATGCAAAGGCAGCTGTGAATCAATAGCATTTCTCTGTTTTGAAAGTATGTTGTCACTTAAGCTGTAGGTGCCCATATTCATAGGATTTGCAAAGAAAATCCCAAGTTAGAATTCCTGCATTCTAGGAAACTGCAATGTAATTTGAAACAAAGTGCTATAGTAGATTATAAAGAGCTGGATGGTGGTGGTAAGGAGAGTTGGGCTGAGATGGTCAGGAGGACATCAGTCTAGCTGGATTGCTGAGAATGGGCAGTCCATGTGGAGGCAGAGAATTTTGACACAGTTTTAGGTTCTGTGGTTTGGAGACAAAAGAGCAGGTTTGGAGTGGGAATGGAGACAGTAGTGTGAGCTCAAATGGGCAGCCCTGGCAGGATTCCTCTTGAGACCATCCTGCCAGAGGGAAGACTTGTGAGGAATTGGGAAATAGGCCAAGGAGAATGGGGTAAAGTAGTAGTGTTTTTCTTCACTTACAGATTTTTATCCTGTAGGCAAGGGGCTAATCCAGATTGAGTAGAGAAACGAGACAAATGTGCCGTAGGAATTTCAACCAGCAGTACTTTATAGGAGAAATTAGAGTGAAGAGTGCCTATATGGCTGAAAACCATTTTGTTTGTTTTAATTTCATTTTTTGGCTCTGTGGTATGTGGGATCTTAGTTCCCCGACCAGGGATTGAACCCAGGGCCCCTGCATTGGAAGGTGGAGTCTTAACCACTGGACCACCGGGGAAGTCCCCCCAAACCAGTTTTTTTCAACAAGAAGTGTTGTACTGGGTTGGCCAAAAAGTCCCATAACATCTTACAGAAAACCCGAACGAACTTTTTGGCAACCCAATAAATCAACAAAGTGGTGAGGGTCCTGACTCACATGGGAGTATGAGATAGAGACATGTATTTATGAAAATGATTCTGTACTCTAGTAAATCTTTTTCCGCATGGACTAATTTGTATCTCTTCATAGTCATACTCTGCACGATCTGTATATAGTGCATCAAACTTAGAGGTGTGACCTTAAATTTAACTTTTTTTAAAAAAACCAGGAGGTCAATAAAATTTAAACTGCTTAACAAGTATGTTTACCAAAAAAAAAGAGAGACATGTGAGAGGACTAATGCAATTGCATCTTTAAGAAAGGGCTGGAGTTTGAACTTGAGTACATCGAAAAAAATGGTAACATCCATGGAAAAGAGTTAACTTGGGAAGAGAAGTTGTTTTGCTTTGCTGTGTGGGTTATGGTGGGAGGGGCATAAAGTGGTGAGATTGAGGGACTGGACTAGCAGCCTCCCCACACCTGGTTGAAGCTTGAGTTTGGACCATCCTATGACTGGCGGGGGCACAGCTGACAGGAGTGGGGAGGGAGGGAGGACCCAAAGGAGAGCTTTGGGAGATGATTACCTCTGGGGTGCAAAGAATGAAACAAAGCAGGTAAGTGAAGAATGGGATGCATAAGAGCCCCAGGGAAGTTTAAATAAGTTCCAGTCTTAGTCCCAGAACCTTTAGACTCGACATATTTATGCCTACCACTTCCATTGAAAAGTTGGGGTATTGTCACATCTTAACTCTTGGCTGTTGTCATGACTTCGATTCATGCTCAGTAATTTGGAAGGGGTTTTTTAAAATAGGGTGACTTTATGATATGAGCAGAGTTTTTTGGCTTTGGTATGTTTAGTCCCTGCTCATAAAAGACGGCAAGAGAGACTGTTCTGGACCACTGTGCTTAGAGACCCCTCATACATAAGAAAGAAGCGCTGTGTAAGCTCCATAATGAATGGGACCATTCCAGATGTGTGTGAGCCCTAGATCACGATGTCTAACATTGTAAAATGAATAAACTAAAACACCGGCAACTTTACCTTTAGCCTTCTCAAAGTCTTATCTGCTTCTGAATTCCCATGTCATTTCCCATCAGAGCGTGTATGAATCTTCTTCTATTTTGGGTAATAACATTGGTTATAAATTTACTCCCTCTCCCCCTTCTTAATATTGTAGTTGAGTAGTTTTTAGCACTTTTCTTCTTTGGCCATGTCTGAAAGAAAGTCTGGGGAATTCCCTGGTGGTCCAGTGGTTAGGACTCCTTGCTTTCACTGCCGAGGGCCAGGGTTTTTGATCCCTAATCGGGGAGCTAAGATCCTGCAAGCCGCACGGTGCAGCCGGAAAAAAAAAAAAGTCTGACCGAGTCATCCTGTGAAGATAATGGGAACTTTACTCCAGGTCACACAGTCAAGATTTTAATTTCCAGGCTGAAGTCTCTCTTCTATTAAATTGTCTGTTATTATTTTTGCCAATGATATTTTTTGCTGCCAAGAACTACAGAATGATATAGAATAGTATCATGAAAAACAGGTCAATTTCTTGAAAGATGTGTTTTTGATTTATTTTTTCCTTTTGGTTTTTAAGCAATTTGGATTATTTAATGTATGAATCACTTCTCCCCTCAGGTAACTGTGAGAGATCAAAAACCAAGTTCCCCTACAAAGTAACAGAGATTCGAGGCAGATGCTATAAAGTTTAGGAAATACCCAGCAGCTCTAGAGGTTGGTATCTATCCCGTGTCCAGTTCATCTTATGATTTGCTTTTTGGACTTTGTTTGGGGTTTCCTACTTGGTGTCTGGTCTGCCCTTCAAAGCTAACACTGCTTATGGGCAATGACAAATGGCAGAGTTCTACCCAGGTAACAGACATACCTTGTAAAGAAGGCCCTACCTGACAGGATTAGAGCCAAAGCCTTTCAATTCTGTGGAATGTTATTGTTAAGCTGGCTTTCACACTTAACTCCCGATCTGTTAATGGTAGTATGTCGTGGGTTAAAATGGGATTTTGTAAGTGATCCTGGCAGTTTCACTCTTAGTGTCCCAGCTTAGAGCTGGGTACTGGAAGCTTAGCATCTCCCTTAAGGGGCAGTAGCTTGACAGGCTTCCCTACACAGAGTCTTGGCATTGGGTAACCCTGCCTCACCTCAACCCCTGGTCCTGGAGCAGTGGCTTGGTGGCCCCTTAAAGGCCATTTCTGCCCTGCAGTGGTCATAAAGGGAAGACTGATAACTAAGCTCAGGCAAAATGTCAAGACCTTTGGCTTTATCCTAAAAATGGAAACTAAAGATATTGGTAATGATTCTCTGTATAACATCTTGAGTCTGTTACACACCAATTTAAGGAAATGTATTCCATTATTATTTCACAGGAAATAAATTGCTGAGTTTCAGCTTCAAGGAAGAGCTAAATATTTCATCATGTATCTCTCTTGACTGAACTATTAAAGCATTGTATCAAAAAACAAGAAAATGTGACATTGTAAAGCCTTTGGAAATATAAGTTGTAAAACAGCAAATAAATTGAATTGCAAAAGTGTGTGATTCTTAAGCATTTTCTTCTCTCATAGTGGCCACATCACTCATGACAGCACCATCTGTCATGAATAGTTTTGTCTTGTCATCTCCAAGGACCTTTAGATAAGGAGAAAAGGATGGTGGATTTGAGGACAAAATAAAAAGATTAAGCATTCCCCACAAAGAGGAACCATCTTGAAGACGGAAAGGATGCCAACTCATTGTTTATAAATGGAGTCCAGGAACATAGTAGGTCCACTGATGGATATTTCCAGTGGTGGCCTGTAGAATCATATGTTTTATGCTTTCAACTAGTGTAGACTCCTTAGGAATAAAGGAAGCTTTAGGAAACAAAAGATCTTTATACTAAGAACCTAGGACCTAGGTGGTCAATTTGCAGAACCAATCTCCCAATAAATGGTGCAGGTTAGGTCTGTGACTATGTGCTAAAAAGATTTTGATGTGATTGGAGGCTCTCCCACGGTTATTTGAAAGAACAGAGCATATGTGAGAGGATGGGGGTGCCTCCAAGAAAGGCTTTCTGGGTGATAGTATGGACAGTATTTTGATACATATCAATGTGTCCACTCAATGCTGCTTCTAAGTAAACCTGTGATGAAAATGTCCTATAGAAAAATGTCCTTTAACTCCCTGTATTAACCAAGTATCCCTCAAAATGGATTAAGGAGATGGTAAAAAGTGATTAAGCGCTACATTTTTTCAGATGAGAAGCAAAAGATGATAGTGTTTCCAAGGCTGGTCTTATGAGACCTATGACTTTATCTAACCCCTACTTAAAGATTTTGTTTAGATACTCCAGGAAAACACCTCTCACTCCTATCCCCACCCAAGTCTGGATTATGTGACACTCCTATGTGTTCTAGTAGCACCTGTATCTTAACTTTCATAGCCCATTTCATGACATGACAGATGAGACTTGTGACATTCTTACCCTCATCAAAGGAGACCATGTATTCATTCCTTAGGGCCATGGATTAGTGTAGCCAATGCAGTATCCCCATGGAAGAGTATAGATCCTCGGACATCATATATATTCAGGTATTTGTGAACGAATGGCTTAGTGTTAATTAGATTAATAAATTGGGCCTTGTGGGTTGGACCCTAGAAGGTGGGGAAACTGATAATGCCAGTATATGGAAGAGGAAGCACAAAGACAGAGAAGAGTACCAATGAACATTTTCCTGTTCTGTAATCCTTCCCAGTCTCGCCTTTACCCTAGAGGGGAGATGAAAAGCTAAGTATAAATTTGGAAAATGGAGTCTAAAATGAACAATAATTCCTGACCACACCTACCCTTCTTCTTCCCTGCCATCTTACCTCTGTGGCAGGTTGAATTTCTTAGGGCCAGACTCTGAGATGGAGATTTGGGTGCAAGAAATTTAATGGAGAGTGCTTTAGGGAAAACATCTCTGAGGGGACAAAGAAAGCATGATTAAGCAGGAGTTTGGGTGTGATGCAGGCACAACAAAGGCCTTGGCCAATCCCACTGAGAGCTCATGAACTGTAATGACCCTGCAGAATTGTCCCAGTTGGGGCAAGAGGCTACATCTTACACCCCTGCATAGACCAGTCACTGTGATGCAGGATGCCCCTGGAAATGAGGCGTGGCCTTGGATAGCGTAGCTCTCTTCAAGCAAGAACAACCAATCCCTGGAAAGTGGAGGTCATTTGCAACTGTTACCTGAAGTCAGCTGTTAACCAGCAGTTGGGAGAATAAATACTTCAGTCCTGAAGTCAGGTGTAGGGGTTAGGAGGCAAATACAAGTGGCACAATACAGCATCCACTATAACTTCCAAATCATGTTCCAAATGGAAAATGTAACCATACTTTTAACAAATTCCCATTGAACACCACCATGCGTGACACATTGTGTTAGAAGGTGAGACTACAACATGTAACAAGATAGTCTCTGCCCTCACGAATTTTCCAGATGTGGGCAGGAACTAATTACCGCAAATGTAGTGGCTTAAAGCAATATCCACCAACTTCCCGTCTCTGGTCTGGCATGTAAAGAGATTAGAAGTCTTCACTCTGTCCTAACAAGTAAAAAGCCGAACAAACTAATCATCAGATCTTCTTAAATCTATCAGAGAATTGAGGTCACAGGGCAAACCGCTGACCCCAAAACTGGAGAGATGGGCAGATACAGAGTCAAAACTTACTGGAGCAGAAATCTCCGTGGGAACCACTGCCATACTTTGCTACCTGCCAGAAAAAAAACTCTGGTTTTAAAATTTTCACACGAGGGCATCCCTGGTGGCGCAGTGGTTAAGAACCTGCCTGCCAACGCAGGGGACACGGGTTCGAGCCCTGGTCCAGGAAGATCCCACGTGCCGTGGAGCAACTAAGCCCGTGTGCCACACTACTGAAGCCTGCACGCCTAGAGCCCATGCTCCACAACAAGAGAAGCCAGGGCACCACAACAAAGAGTAGCCCCGCTCGCCGCAACTAGAGAAAGCCCACACACAGCAACAAAGACCCAACGCAGCCAAAAATAAAAAAAATTGATTAAAAAAAGAAAAATCTCATGTGATTTGGTTCAGATCACCCAAACAGTCACCCTTAAAAGGCCAAACTTTTAACATAATCTAATCATGGGAGTAAAATCCCTTAAAGTAACAGTTCTATAGGTTTGGGTAGGAAACCTTGGGGCTGTTTTACAATTTCGCCTACCACAACCATGATGGCAGGCTGATAAGATACCTCTGTAAAGGGAGGTCTGGTGGCTTCTTTTGACTTCCTTAATAGTAGAGAGTACTGAGTTTGAGGAAAGAGGTTTTAGGATGAAGGAATTTGATTGACAGCTTTATGGGCTCAGCAGTCTGGAAATCAGAACAGAGGAGGAGGAGTTTGGTTTGAGGTTCTTTCGGGTAAGCTGGGCAGAAAAACCACAAGTCAAGGGAGATAACAGGCTTAACTGATGGACCACAGAATGTAGGCCGGCGAAGCCCACTGCCTTTTTCTTTTTTGAAATAAATTTTAATAACGGTTCTTTTTAAAATTTATTTATTTATTTTTGACTGCACTGGGTCTTCGTTGCCGCGTGCGGGCTTTCTCTAGTTGCAGAGAGAGGGGGCTACTCTTCGTTGCGGCGCACGGGCTTCTCACTGCGGTGGCTTCTCTTGTTGCGAAGCACGGGATCTAGGCGCGCGGGCTTCAGTAGTTGTGGTGCACAGACTTAGTTGCTCTGCGGCATGTGGGATCTTCCTGGACCAGGGATCGAACCCATGTCCCCTGCATCTTAACCACTGTGCCACCAGGGAAGTCCCAAAGCCCACTGCTTTAAGTTAACCCAAGTAGAACAGGCTGTCCTGCTCATTCCCCACATACTGGCCTCTTCAGGGATTACTCCTGCTCTCCTAACATTTCACAATTAAAATACCATATTTATTAAACCATTTCTCTAATATTGGAATGGTTGTTTCCAACTTTATATAATTTCGGACTTTAAGAGGATATTGTTATCATCAGGACAACCTCACCTTACATCCTTTTCATGTCTTTTATTCTCTCGTATGATGTCATACATGGGATCTTCATGTGCCTTAAGGGTGAGAAAAGGTTAAGGCTGGGTTAGGCTTCATGGGTTGTTAGTTAATTAAACATTAAATCCCTGTTACTAAAAGCTAGTTATTCTTTTCCAGTTTGGTTGTTCAAACGTTCTAATCCTTCCTAAGGGTCACCAGAACTGCAAACTCCCTGAAGCTGTAAAAATAATTTTCCAATTAGAAAAATACAGAAGGGAATTCCCCAGTGGTTAGGCCTCCAGGCTTTCATTGCGGAGGGCCTGGGTTCGATCCCTGATCGGGGAACTAGGATCCCGCAAGCCACGCAGAGTGGTCAAAAAAAGAGGGACTTCCCTGGTGGTCTGGTGGATAAGACTCCACACTCCCAATTCAGGGGGCCCGGGTTCAGTCCCTGGTCGGGGAACTAGATCCCACATGCATGCCACAACTAAGAGTCTGCATGCCACAACTAAAGATCCCACATGCCGTAACGAAGATCCCGTGTGCCGCAACTAAGACCCAGCACAGCCAAAATAAATAAATAACTATTTTTTAAAAAGAGAAAAATACAGTATATAATTTAAATATCCTTTATAAAGAATTAAACGATGGCAGAATCATGAAAAACTATTCAAGGAAGAAATATTGAGGCAATTCTCTTTGTTCTATGTGGATACATGATCAAGAAATAGTATTAAGAAAAACAAGTGAATTATAAAATTATATATAACAATGAAACATTTATAGGTATGCAAAAATATATAAGTATCCCAAACAAAGTATGGAAGTATACTGGAGGTATAGATAATTTTAAATGATTTGAATTACTTAAAAGTAAGAACACATATGGGAAATGTTATGGTATTTGAATTATCTCATTTTAAAAAAGAATAAATGTTTATTACAGAAATTTTAGATATTATCAGAAAATTAAGTTTTTAAAAAAAATCTACTACTTCACTACGCAGGGATAACAGTAATATTAACATTCGGTCTCTCTTTTTCTTTTTCTTTTTTTTTTTTTTGGCTGCACCACACAGCTTGTGGAATCTCAGTTCCCTGACCAGGGATTGAACCTGCACCCACGGCAATGAAAGCGCCGAGTCCTAACCACTGGACCACCAGGGAATTCCCTGGTCTCTCTTTTTATTTATTGGCCGCATTGGGTCTTTTTTTTTTTTAATTTATTTTTGGCTTGATCGGGTCTTCGTTGCTGCTTTCTCTAGTTGCGGCGAGTGGGGGCTACTCTTCACTGCGCTGCATGGGTTCTAGGCACTCGGGCTTCAGTAGTTGTGGCTCGCGGGCTCTAAAGCACAGGCTCAGTAGTTGTGGTGCACAGGCTTAGCTGCTCCATGGCATGTGGGATCTTCCTGGACCAGGGATTGAACCCATGTCCCCTGCATTGGCAGGCGGATTCTTAACCACTGCACCACCAGGGAAGTCCCGTATTGGCTCTTAGTTGCAGCACACGAGATCTTCGTTGAGGCATGTGGGATTTTCAGTTGTGGCATGCAGGATCTCTCGTTGTGGTGCACGGGCTTCTCTCTAGTGGTGGTGTGCAGGTTTTTCTCTCTCTAGTTGAGGCGCGTGGGCTCAGTAGTTGCAGTGCGCAGGCTTAGTTGCCCTGTGGCATGTGGGATCTTAGCTCCCTGACCAGGGATCAAACCCGCATCCCCTGCATTGGAAGGTGGATTCTTTACCACTGGACCACCAGGGAAGTCCCTGGTCTTTTTAAATTGTTATTATAAATTTTATAATATTTTAAAATATAAATTGTTATAATTTATGAAAAATTATAATCATACCATTTATATATAAAACTCTATTACTTTTCAGTTGTGTTTTCATAAACATTTTCCCATGATATTACACATTTTATTAAAACACATTTCCTAATGGCTAAATAATTTCTGTTACAGTAATTTATGTTGATATATTGGACTATTAAGGTGTTTCCTATTTTTCTTTAGCTCCCATTTTTCTAACCACATAAATAATAATGAAAGCTATCCTTATACATACATAAAGAATTGTGTATATATTAACGTTCTCTTACATCCTTAAGGTAAATTAAAGTGGGATTTCTGAGTCAAAATGAGTATGTTTAAAGTTTTTGAGATTTATCACCAAACTATGTTCTATAGTATCTGTAGTAATTGTCATTCCACCTAAAAGTAGAACAATTGATCCAAAATAAGTTATTTCAGATTATTAAAATGAAAACACAACATCTTAAAATGTCTTAAAAACTGGAGAATGGGGCTTCCCTGGTGGCGCAGTGGTTAAGAATCCACCTGCCAACGCAGGGGACACAGGTTCAATCCCTGGTCTGGGAAGATCCCACATGCCACAGAGCAACTAAGCCCACGCACCACAATTACTGAGCCTGCACTCGAGAGCCCGCGAGCTACAACTACTGAGGCTGCATGCTGCAACTACTGAAGCCCGTGCCTAGAGCCCATGCTCTGCAACAAAGAGAAGCCACTGCAATAAGAAGCCTGCACACCACAACGAAGAGTAGCCCCCTGCTGACCGCAACTAGAGAAAGCCCGTGCACAGCAATGAAGACCCAATGCAGCCAAAAAATTAAATTAAAAAAAAAAAACAAAAAACTGGAGAATGTCTGTTGACTCCAATTTGATATATGTTGATAACCTCAGTACATCCAGACAGCTACATATTTCACTTGACAGAAGCAGTTACTGAATGAAGAATTTACACCCCTGGGAAATGACTCTGTTGAAATAAGGTAAGGAAATGATACTTTTACTGTCATGTAAAGAGCAAATATAATTTATATATACACTTCTAGCTTATAGTTTAAAGACATATAATCTTCAGGTAAAGCCTGGAAAACCAAAACCCTCATTTTAGTTATGAAACTGATTTTTTTATACAATAAGTAAAAAAACCTGATTTTTTTATACAATAAGTTAAAAAAAAGTGATTGAATAAATAACAATGTCTGCTTCAGAAAAAGAATCACTATTCCCAAGGTATAAGCGAATAACACCTTAATAAGAAGTTTTTTGTTAAGATCTAATCTGTCACACAAATGTACAGGCATGCCTCATTTTACTGCACTTCACTTTATTGCACTTAGCAGATACTACGTTTTTTACAAATTGAAGGTTTGTGGCAACTCTGCGTTGAGCAAGTATATCAGCATCATTTTTCCAACAGTATTTGCTCACACCATGTCACTGTGTCACATTTTGGTAATTCTCACAATATTTCAAACTTTTCATTATAATTACATTTGTTAGGGCGATCTGTGATCAGTGATCTTTGATGTTTGTACTACAACTCTCTGAAGGCTCAGATGATGGTTAGCATTTTTTAGCAAGAAAGTATTTTAAATTAACTTATGTACTTTGTTTTTTTAGACAGAATGCTATTGCATATTTAACATAATACAGTATAGAGTAAACATGACTTTTATATGTGTTGGGAAATTTAAAAATTCATGTCATTCACTATATTGTGATATTTGCTTTATTGAGGTTCTAGATATTGCCAGAACCAAACCTGCAACATCTCTGAGGTACGCCTGTAATTTAATACAAATGTAGTTAACACCAGATACTTTGGCCAAATGACTTCTGGGAATGTATTTTGTGTGAATTTGCAGTTCACTGTTAGTACCTAATCAAATGATATTCACTATCTCTGATAAATGTAAATTGATATGGTGGGGTTCTACTTACTACTCTGAACTGTTCTAACTTTTGGTTGCCTTTGATAAAAAAAGGGCATTCTTTGTCGCCTGTTCGGTGATCATATCGTTTACAGCGCCAACCTGAAAACAAAGAAAAGAGGAAATATTTCTGTCAGATAACACAGTTTCCTTTAATGAAGACAAAGGATCAGTAGATCATATTAAAGTTTTTCTTCATTAAACTCCAATTCTAAAAGCAAATGCAATCAGTGAATGAACCATGTAAGATCCTAAAAAACAAAGGGAAACTACAGATCTTCCTTGCGTTATGATGGGGTTACATCCCAATAAACCCATCATAAGTTGAAAATACTGTAAGTTGAAAATGCACTTAATACACCTAAACTACTGAACATCATAGCTTAGCCTAGCCTACCTTAAATGCACTCAGAAGACCTACATTAGCCTACAATTGGGCAAAATCATCTAACACAAAGCCTATTTTGTAATAAAGTGTTGAATTTCTCATGTAATTTATTGAATACTGTACTGAAAGTGAAAAACAAAATGGTTGTATGGGAACATAATTTTGAGAGCTGGATCTCAGGAAACCATTGAAAAACAATGAAGTTTGGGGGTTCTCTGTTGACTGCCTCTGAGCTGTCCCTGTCTTTATCTCTCCTAACATTTAAAGTTCAGGAAAGGAGGATAACACTCCTTCAAACCAATGTCTTTCTTTGTGTTCAAAACCCTCTTACCTTTAAAGGAAAGGTGATCCTTACTATTCAAAATGTGGTCCATGCACAAGCAAAATCAACAACACATGGGAGATTGGTGGAAATGCACAGTATTAGGCCTACCCCAGAAACACTGACACATACTTGGAGTTCAAAAGACTTATTGGTGATGTGTAGACATATTAAAGTTTGAGAACCACTGTTCTAGATAATACTACAATCACTAAAATCAATGAAAATATGCATATGTATATATATATATATATATGTATATATATATATATATCTTGTTTGGAATGAGTCCAAGTTTTGTGGTGCCTGAGCTTAAATTACTTGGTGGGGGTGGGGATGGAGGGGGCTCTTTAGGAAAAACAAAAATCTTGCCTTGGCAAATTTTACAAAATCATATGACCATAATCAACACATCACTATGGTCCCTGCAGGTCTTTGAAAGACACAAGTGAGGGGCCCTGAAACTTAAGCTTCATTTACTTCTTGGTAAAACTGGATCTGGTCCCAACCCAAACTTTTATTTTCCAAGTCAATGCAAATAACTATAAAATACTAAGTGAAATGCAACTAACCACCTCATCAAACAGAGCAGTGGTTTTCAAACTTTAAAAAAAAGCCATAGACTTCTGGGTAAAGATGGCAGACTAAACACATTCATCTCCTTTCATTTCCTTCCTGAGATTCTACAAAAATGACAAGAGAATTCTTTTCAAAAGGAATAATCCAGGAAGTATCTCAAGAAGGGCCAAGTAACAACCTCCATAAATCTGTTCCTCCATAGAAGCATTGGAAATAGTTGCAAATTTTTCCAAATCAAGTTGTCTGAAACCTTGAAAATTAACCAAAGGCTTGCCACAATCTAAAGAGTATTAATTAAAGAAACCCTACTGAGCCTTGGTAGGAACAGCAGGATTTCTGGCGTTTTAACTGGGCTCACTCCCAACCCCTACTTACACAACAGTCTTAAAAACAAGCAGCTCTGCAACCATGACAGCTGTGAAAAGCAGCAGTGTCACACCCACTGAAGAGGGAAGACTGGATTTTGAGCACCTCAAAAAGCCCTGACTTCAGAGCACAGAGCCACGCTGGCAGGGTATTGTTGCTATCTGACCAGTCATGCAGTTTGCTCTACAGAAAAAGCCCTACCCCAGGATATTTGTCAAAAATAGTCACTTGCAATTGTTTAACATCACAGCTTATTATGGCTGTGATATCACTGGGTAAACAAGAGCCCAGCCAAAAGTTTAAAAGGAAGATCTGGGGAATGAGATGTCCATAGAGGGCTCTCAAAAATTCTGACATAATTCCGGGAAGCTAGAAGACTATACACATGTGTAAGGCTGTGTGCATGCATAGTAAAGGCCTGAGAAGGCCTTTTTTTTCACTTCTGACTCACTGTTAAGGCTCTGTGCAAGCAGGCACTAAAGGCTAAGGCAGACATGTAAACCAAACCACATGAGCATTTCAGGTTTGTCTTAACACACACATATAACCTCTTGGCAAAGGGTAGAAGGCTTCTTAGATCAATGCATTTAAGGAAATCTCTGTCGTATTATTAGCTGACCTCTAAGCTAACAGAGGAGACTTCAGTGGCCATACACTACAGGGAATACAGACTTACAGAATTAGTTAGGAAAGTCACTAAAAATACAAAAAGGAACAATAACAAAACCTGGGTAGAAGGGAGAATCTGATTTCCAGACCACCTTATATTATCTAAAATGGGCAGTTTTCACCAAAAAATTGCAGAACACACAAAGCAACAGCAAGTTCAGATACTGGACTTACCAGACAAAGACTTTAAATCAGCTATTATAAATAAGTTCAAAGAACTAAAGGAAGTTATGTCTAAAGAATTAAAGAAAAGTATGAAAGTGATGTCATAACAGATGGAAATTATTAATAAAGGGATACAAATTATAAAAATAAATAAAAAAATTCTGGAGTTGAAAAGCACAATAATCAAACTGAAAAATTAACTGGAAGGTCTTAACAGCAGATTTAAGATGGCAGAACAAAGAATAAGCAAACCTGAAGATAGGTAACAACTGAGATTATCCAGTCTGAGGAACAGAAAGAAAAAAGAATGAAGAAAGCTGGCCAGAGTCTCAGAGACCTGTGGGATACCATCAAAATTCACAGCATACGCATAAAGAAAATCTCAGAAAGAAAGGAGTGCTAGAGAGTGTAGAATGTTTGAAAAAATAATGGCCAAAAACTTCCCCAATTTGATGAAAAACATTAATCTACAAATCCATGAAGCTCAATGAACTCCAAGTAGAATGAGTTCAAAGAGATCCATCATAGGCAAACTGTTAAAAAGCGAAAGATAACAAGAAAATTTTAAAAGAAATGAAAGAAAAACAACTCATCACATATAAGCAATCCTCAATGAGATTATCAGATGACTTCTTATCACAAACCGTGGAGACCAGAAGGCAGTAGAATAACATATTCAAAGTGCTGAAAGAAAGACTATTAAGCAAGAATTCTACAGCCAGCAAAATTATCCTTCAGAAATAAAAGAGAACTTAAAGTTCAGATAAACAAAATCTGAAAATTTATTGCTAATGGACTTGCCTTACAAAAAATAACAAAGCTGAAATGATGAAAGGATACTAGGCAGTTACTCAAATCCACATGAAATACACAGCACCAGTAAAGCTAACTACAAACATAATTATAAAAGACAGTATAAATACATTTATTGTAATTCTTTTATTCTCCTATCTCATTTTAAAACAACTACATAGAGAAATAATTATAAAACAGTGATGATGAGCTTATATAAAAATGTAATTTGTATGACAATATTATCACAAAGGAGGGGGAGAGAATGGAGCTGTATAGGAACAAAGTTTCTGTATTCTATTGAAATTACATTAGCATTAATCTGAATGAAAATCAAAAGGCAGGTATTGGCAGAATGGATAAAAAAATGTTTTCCAAGTACAACAAACTTTAGATTCAAAGACAAAATTAAACTGAAAGTAAGAGGATGAAAAGAGATACAATAAAGCAGTGTTTACAGGAAATTTATAGCTTTAAATACCAACATTAGAAAAGAACAAAGATCTCAAATAAATAATCTAAAGTTCAGTTTAAAAATCTAACTGAAAGAGACCTGGAGTGGCTATACTAATATTAGAGAAAACAGACTCAAAGGCAAAAATTGTTACAAGAGACAAATATTGACATTTTATAATGATATAAGGGTCAATCCATCAAGAGGATATAACACTTATAAACATATATGCACCTAACAACAAAGTTCCAAATAGATGCAGCACAAAGGGAAAACTAGATAATGCAACAATAATAATTAGAGACTTCAATATTCCACAATGGACAAAACAACTAGAGAGAATATCAACAATGAAATAGAAGACTTCAACAATACTATAAACCAACTAGACCTCACAGATATCTGTAGAACATCTGACCACCCCAAAAGAACAGAATACACATTTATTTGAATCCCACATGGAACATTATCCAGAATAGAGCATAGGCTAGGCTATAAAACAAGAATTAATAAATTTAAAAGGATTCAAACCAGGACTTCCCTGGTGGCACAGTGGTTAAGACTCCGCGCTCCCAATTCAGAGGGCCCGGTTTCGATCCCTGGTCAGGGAACTAGATCCCACATGCATGCCACAACTAAGGAGCCTGCAAGTCGCAACTAAGGAGACCACGTGCTGCAACTAAGGAGCACACATGCCGCAACTAAAGGAGCTGGTGAGCCACAACTAAGGAGCCCACTTGCCGCAAATAAAACCCAGCACAACCAAATAAGTAAATAAAATACTTAAAAATAAAATAAAATAAGGATTCAAACCATACAAAGTATGTTTTCCAACCACAAAGAAGACAAATTAGAAAGCAATGATAGTAGGAAACTTTGGGAATCTACAAATACGTAGAAATTAAACAACACATTTCTAAACAATCCATGGGTCAAAGAAGAAATTTCAAGGAAAATTAGCAAGTATTTTGACTTGAACGAAAATTAAACATAACATATGAGATGCAGATAAAGCAGTGCTTAGAGGGAAATGTAGAGCTTTAAATGCCTATATTAGAAAAGAATGAAGCTCTCAAATCAATAATCACAGGTTCAATAAAAAAATCCAGAAAACAAAGAGCGACCCAAACCAAAGGCAAGCAGAAGGAGGAAATAATAATAATGAACTACTGGCATTACTGGCATGTGCTATGCCATAGATGAACCTCAAAAATATTATGCTTAAAGAAAGAAGCCGGGGGCTTCATGAGGCAATGAAGATTCCGCATGCGGCAACGAAGATCCTGGGTGCTGCAACTAAGACCCAGCACAGCCAAATAAATAAATAAATATTTTTTTAAAATACTAAATGCTGGGCTTCCCTGGTGGCGCAGTGGTCGAGAGTACGCCTGCCGAGGCAGCGGACGTGAGTTCGTGCCCCGGTCCGGGAAGATCCCACATGCCGCAAAGCGGCTGGGCCCGTGAGCCATGGCCAATGAGCCTGCGCTTCCGGAGCCTGTGCTCCGCAACAGGAGAGGCCACAACAGTGAGAGGCCCGTGTACCGCCAAAAAAAAAAAACAAAAAAAACACCTAAATGCTAAATGAAGAGCAGACACCAGAAAATTGAATTCTAAGCCACCAGAGGGGAAAACGGAGAATCAGCTCAATTTCTATTTGCAGCACCTCCAAAGAGCTTAGGAATTGAGCTCTGAGCACCAGATACCTCTGAAAGTAAAGGTAAAGGAGGAGCTGAAATAAGGAGGATTGATGAAAAGTCCAAGGGCAACTCTTACTAGCCCTGGTGGAAGGAAGTTTATTGTCTGAAAAAGGTAAAGCATAGATCTCTGGCAAAATGACATCAGATACATGTGAAGGCAAGGTGCCACAGTAAATACAGAAGATTACATGAACAAATAAAAAGTAAATGGCAAGATTTCCCAACCTTCTTGCTCCAATAAGATCCCACAACACTAGCAGCTTGGCCTTCACCCTCCATGGAGGAGCCTTCTTCTCTAGGAAAATATAACTCACCCCAAGAAGAAAAACCTACAGGTACTGACCTCACAAGTTCCCAATTCACCGGACTAGAAAGATTACCCTCCAGTGAAACTCAGCAAGCCCCACTCACACACTTAGAGCTCCTAATCAACTTTTTATCTCCCAATGATGAGCAATAACTGTGGGTGCCAGTCTCAAAGATGGACCCCAAAATCCCTGACTTCTAAAAAGCATGCCCTCATATATTCCCTGCCACCCTGAATAAGGCTAACTGCTGTAACCTAGGTACTGGAAAAAGGATGATGTGTGAATGGAGGCAAAGAGACTGCAAAATGCTATTTTAATTATGTGTGTGAAGAATCTTTGTACCAACAATGTCTTTAAAGGCAGCAGTACCCCTTCTTCAAATGCCGTCTTATGCTGGATGAAGATGCTGCTGCTCTGGTGCGGTGGAGGGTGTGCACACAGAGCTCTACCTGTTCCAGACCCATCCTCTGTGGCCCAGAGCTCCTCTCAGGTTACCTGGATAAAACCTCAACACCTCGGATGAGGATGACTGACTGAGGCAAGACCGAAGGGACCACCCTCCAATGCATCCCTTGTCCCCCATGGCATTTCTACATGGAATATCCTTTCTGTTACAGGAATACTACTGAAGCGTATACTCTGCAGGCAACTACGGCCCTGTGGAAGACCATTTTCCTTACAGCCAGAAGCCCTGGAGTCTAGGCACTGCACTGCCTCTTACACCAGAACACTTAATAACATATGCAAGGCGGCTTCCTCACCTATAGCACAGAGATCATGCCCTGACTTTAGCAGGGCTGTGGTGAGAATGAACTAAAAGAAGTGAACTCGTTTGTAAACGGTGGTCTATAACTTGCATGTATTGAGGGTGTTACTTGAAACCCTTCCACACTCACACTGCATGACTCTGACTTCTTTCCCCAGTGGCATCCAAAGTCCTTTGGTTGGTGCGTGGGCCAGAAATTCCCTGGCATGTTCACTGCCTGGAACATCTGGTATACAGTCTTCTGGCTTAGTCTCATCCTCCTGAAAAAGGAAACTGTGTAAGCTGTGCGGCAAAAAAGCACAGGAACTCTCTCCCACCTGTCTGAGAACACAGCCCTGCCTGGCTTTCTCATGGGCTGGAGATCCCAATGTCATCATAAATTACCCTCTGAAGAGCTAGAAAGAAAGACAAATCATAACTGACAGAAAAAACAGAAGTAACTATACTAGAAGAGCTAGCTATACCATGAAAACAAAGTAGCTGTTCTTAGAGAAGAGTTAGTGTTTACATAGGATTGATCTGTGAGCTCCAAATTCTGATTCTAGATCACAAAAATTAGATTCTAAGATCACAAAAAGTTTTCTGCTAACTTAAAAGCTTTGTGGAATGAGGCAGAATATAGAGTTAAACAGGTGAGGTTTCCTGGAATAATAAGAACAATGTGTTAGAGTAAAATATATTATTAGACCTTGAAGGCCACTGTCATGTTTTATAATCTCACACATGCCGTATTAGTGAGATGTATTTTCATTACCAAATAACTGCACTATATAATTAAGGTGCTGTTTTTTTACCTCATGATTTTTTCAAGTTTCCACGAATATTAAATTTATAATGGAAGAATGTTTTCTAAAAATCTTTGTTTTAAGTTGAAAGTTACCAAAAAGAAAAGGTTACTTTGGCCTTAAGTCCTCTAAGTCTCGCTCCTGCAGAAAGACACTGACACTGTGGCCAGGGTGCTGGAGGAGGGACGCCTGCAACAGGTAGGGCTGGACTGGATGAGCTTCACGTCTCCTCAGAGTCCAGTGTTCTCTGAGCTGATGACATTCAAGAAATCAGCATGGGGAGGGGGGGTCAGAGAAGGAACATGGGGCAGGAGAGCTTTGAGGAGATGCAGTCACAGTGAGACAGAAAAAATGGGAGTGAGTGCTGAGGAACACTCGGGGGGCCTGCAGTGGTTTCTTAGGGGACAGACACAAGGCTGATTAAATTTCTGCAAAGGCACAGGCTGTGACAAAGCCCAAAGTGCATGAACCGACTGCCATCTGCAGGGAAGACACAGAACTATCATAAAAGGAGGTTCAAACCTTATGCAGCTGTTTTTCGTAAGTGACTGAGTCTGAGCACTGAGTCAAATCTGTCTCAGAGAAAAACCAAAAGTACAAACTTCACACTGACCTTGATAAGTCCAGGAGGAGGTTTGTCATAACTAGAAAGGAAGACAACACCAGTCATGAACCATGTTCATAGGAATGTAACACATCTCAATCAGCAAAAGGCAACTGCAGACCAAAATGAAAAGACTTTTTTTTTTAGAAAAAACTTAAAACTACATTATAACTAAAACAGTTAATAAAATATGCCCAGCAGTCAGAAGTCCTATATAAATAAACTGATGCTATACCACATCCTGTTCGATGTCGAACTTAAATTCACTGAAATCGTAACTTGGTGTCTTGGCACAGCGATTTTATTTTTGGAAGAAGGGAAAGCAAGAGATTGCAGGGAAAATGTGAGGTAAGAAGAGCCTTGAGGGTCTCCCTGGTGGCACAGGGGTTAAGAATCCGCCTGCCAAGGCAGGGGACACGGGTTTGAGCGCTGGTCCAGGAAGATCCCACATGCTGCGGAGCAACTAAGCCCGTGTGCCACAACTACTGAGCCCATGTGCCTAGAGCCTGTGCTCCGCAACAAGAGAAGCCACCACAACAAGAAGTCCGCACACCGCAATGAAGAGTAGCCCCCGCTCGCCGCAACTAGAGAAAGCCTGCGCACAGCAATGAAGACCCAACGCAGCCAAAAAAAAAAAAAGTTATAACAATGTTAACACTGACATTGATTAGGAAAGTTATTATGATGGTGCTATATTGAAAGTATGGAAACAAGAAGGGCAAGTAAGAGAACTAAATCTTTATCTACTATGACAAGAAGTTAACAGATGTCTAAAATTGTTGAGTCAACAAAACCAGTTGTAAGCATATAACTTAGAAATGTGCAGTTAAATCCAAGAAATAAAAACTAAAAGAGTCTGCACATGGAAGGCTTGGCCTTGTTAGGAGGGAAGGGGGTGGAAGGCTGTGCAGGTTACTCTGGGGGGTAAATGATGAGTTGGGCAGCCCAGCGCTATTTTTGGTAGCATTTTTAGTACTATTTGAGTTTTAAGCTATATACAAGTATTACTCTGGTATGAATTAAACTTAATTAAAATCAAACAAAACCCTGAACTAGAAAAAGCAAATATGTCCATAGCCTAGCCAGTTTCAAATCTGTGAAACTGGAAAAATCCCACTGGTCTGAGAATCACACTCCTGAATTCTGCTCTAATTTTGTTGGCTAACCAAGTCAGTCGCTTAACCACTGAGCCTCCATTTTCTCATCTACAAAACGTTATCATCTTTCTCTTGTCTGTGAAAAAGCTCTGTGAGCTACAAAATAAACACATAGTATTAACCACCACCTGGCATCCTACAGTTAAAGATACAGAGGGCTGGTGGGGCTAAGCCCTGCCTGAGCCCAGAGTGCCTTGAACACGCCAGGACTGTGGATGCCAGCAATGCAGAACCTGTATCCAAACCACGGCCCACTGAGGTGAAATTCAGCTCAAGAGCCACACTGAAAAGAGCAGGCCAGGCTCCAAGGAAGCATGCACTTTGTATCAAAGCTCCCAGAAGGTTAATGAGGGCCTTTCCTTACACGACTGTCTCAGCAATCATGAGAAGGTAGGTAATGAGAAGTGCCTGAAACAGAAATAATTCAGATAACTCAGTGAACACCAAACTTAGTAAAGTCAGACTTCTAAAGCTGATTACAGAACGACAGAAACACAGAAAAGAACCGCAAGGGTCATTAATCCAACCTTCCACCTGATGTTTAAATCTCCTTTACAACCAACCCTTCTCTCAGGCGTTATCTGGACTCTCTCCCGGGTAGCTGGGGGAGTACAGTGCCTCCTAGGTCAGGCCACGCTGACCAGCAAGAATCTATGACTCTGGTCCTAATTCTTCTTGTTGAGCTGGAACTGGCCTCTTTGTAGCTTCCACCCTTAACCCTGGTAAAAAAAATCCTGGGGACGAGAGAGAAGTCCACGCTCTCTTCTACCTGACAGCTCCTCCCGAAGAGTCAGGGACCAGGCCCTCACCCCACGTTTATTCTTCCCTTCCTCACCGCGCACTCATGTTACGGGACTGGGCTTTTTCCTCCCTAGTTAACAGCACTAGATGAAAAGAATGGGGATTTTACCCAGTTCAGAGCAAGCCCCTTGAACTGAGAAATGGGAAAGTACCCAAGGGCGCAGCCGCACTTCTCCTGTATTCAAATCCTGACCGACACCGACGTCGCCGCACGAGGAATAAAACCGTCGTTTCCGGCGGAGAAGCGCCCGCCCGCCGCCGCCTCGCGCGCCCGGGATGACCCTGGGGACGGAGTCTCCCGGCTCTTTCTTCAAAGGCTGAGAGTCCAGCGTCCCGCAGCCCGGAATCAAATCCCGCACCCGGCTCGCTGGGGACGGGCTCACCTGTCCACTCGCAGGTCTCCAACCCCGGGCGGGCCCCGCCGCGCGACCCCGGGCCCCGACCCCATTCCTCGCATTAGTTGGGGGCGGGCGTGACGGACTCACAAGGACTTCAGGTGCTTGAGCTGCTGCAGCTGCTGCGCGTTGTGCCGCCGCCGCCTCTGTTCGCGGCGTCGCTGCAGCTCTTGCTCCGGAGGCTCCCGCGGCCGCCGCGCGCCCCCGGTCCCCGAGTCGTCGCGCCCGAGCCGGGACGACATTGCGGCCCGCGCCGAGCCGCGAAGACCGCACTTCCTCCGCGCCGCGCCCGCCCGGCCCCGCTGCACCCCCTCTCGCCGCCACTCCGCGGCCCGCCGGGCCGGGCCCAACGTCCTGGCTGAGGCCGCCAGTGCCCCGCCTCCCGACAGGCCGGCCAGACTGCCTCCGCAAGTCCGCAATCTGAGCGCCCTAACCGTGCTGCGGAGTCAGCGGGTGCCGCAGGCCGGAGCGCGCTCCACTGGCGGCGGCCAGGAGCCCCGGCGCTGAGGATGCTGCGGAGGGAGCCAGATCTTTCCCTTGGTTCTCTTGAAGTATTCCCTCCTGAAGCCTTCAGGGATGTAAGCTGTTCAGTTGCATAGAAGCCACCATGCTAAGAGAAAGCCTAAGCTAACAAATGGGGAGATCACGTGAAGAGGCCCTGAGACAATAAAAAAAGGGATGTCAGGTCAGACCCCACTGCCTAACCACACCCTACCCCTGGTCAGATGACTCCTTGGTGCAAGCCAAAGATAAATCTTAAGGGGCTCACGTCAACCAAGAATTGCTCCTGTCCTCCTGGGGAGGCTTTGTTTGCCGGCCAAGTTATGTGCTTAAAGTAAAAGAAGATGGAAGAAGGAAAAAAGAAAAGACAACAAACATTATCTAACCACAACCAGTGACCTTATGGCATGCAAGCAAATAATCTGAAAACTTTAGTATATACTTATATGCAGAAAGCAATTGTGTTGGATTTTTCTCACTTGCAGTTGAAAGAAGTCAATTCAAAGTCAGTTTGTCTAACATAGTGATTTGCTGTCTCAGCAAGAAGACCCAGGGATTGTTAATTCCATTTTAGCAAGTATTAGTCAAAATTCTTTTGAAAACAACAATGGACCAAAATCCAAATCAAACTGGACCAAAATCCAAATCAAACTGCTCTAAGAAAAAAAATTAAGTAATTTATGGGCTTACATATGTGAAACGTCATGGGATGGAACTTCAGGAATGGCTGGATCTAGGGGCTGAAATGTTATAGTTAGCAATTTCAAAGCTTCACGTTCCTTTGTATTGCTTCATTCTTTGCAGTTTCTCCCATTGTGGGGGCAAAGATGGCCACTGGAATCCAAAGATGGCCAACAAATTAGCAGCCCCAGCTGGAAGAAACTTTCTCTTTCTCAGTTCCAATAAGAATTCCATGTATTATACTCATTGGCTTAGCAAGAGTCATGTACTTGTCATGGAAACAATCACTGTAGTCAAGGAGTTGCAGAACACTGACTGCTCATGCCTATGTTACATGTCCACCCTAAATCCGAGGGGTGGATCAGCTTTATCCAAGCCATATAGACTAAGAGAGGGGGAGGGGTTGTTCCTCAAAGCAAAATCCAGGTGCTATTAACAGAGGAAAAGAGAGAGAGAGACAGGAAGAAAAAGAAGAGGAGGAGGAAGGAGAAGAGAAGAGCAATATTGGGCAGGAAAAAATAACAGGTGTACAGTTCAGTAGTCTGACAGCCTCACCCAGTACCACATCCTGAACTGCATTCTAGGCATCTCTCTTTGATGATTACCCTGTTAGAGCTTATAAAGCAGTGAAAATTCTTTTTTTTAAATTTTTTTATTGGAGTATAATTGCTTTACAATGTTGTGTTAGTTTCTGCTGCACAGCGAAGTGAATCAGCCATACGGATACACACATCCCCTCCCTCTTGGACCTCCCTCCCCTCCCCATCCCACCCAACTAGGCCATGACAGAGCACCGAGCTGAGCTCCTTGTGCTGTACAGCAGGTTCCCACTAGCTATCTATTTTAAACATGGTAGTATATTTATGTCAAATCTAATCTCCCAGTTCATCCCACCCTCCCCTTCCCCCCATGTCCATACGTCTGTTCTCTACATCTGCCTTTCTATTCCTGCCCTGCAAATAGGTTCATCTGTACCATTTTTCTAGATTCCACATATATGAATTAACATACAATATTTGTTTAGTGAAAATTCTTTTGCTGCTATATCCACCTGTTTATGTGAGCTTGGGTTCTTTATGTATTTTGGCACCAGATTCAGAAGTTTCCTGGTCACCGATCCAGGATGATATGCAAGGTGTTGTGGTCACTCCACAGAAGTATGCTGGACCCTCCTCCACCCCAAATCGGTTTGCTGTTAAGACTGATGATGCCACATATGCACCGAGAGGGTAGGGAGAAATTTATTATTCACATATTGAGGCTTTCTGGGAGAGCAGGTCAGGCACCTAAGACAGTTCAAAAATAGCTTCAGCAAAGGAAAGGTGAGTGACCCTGGGTTTTATTATGTTTAGGAGGTAGAACCTGGGTGAATACTCCTGCACACAGGCCAAGGCTTTGTGGGGTTTGAACTTTCCTCTGGTGCCAAGGGAAGGAGTGTGTAGGCTTTCTTATCAGCTTGTCCACAGGTGGGGAGGAAGCGGAAAGTGGAGGCGGGGCTTGAAGGGTGACAGTGGTCAACATAAAAAAATGGAGTCAGATTCTTTATGACCCAGGGCCATCTTTCAAATTCAGCCCCATTTTCTGATTGTGATAAACTCAATGTAGTGACATCTAGTAAGCAGTTAGACAAACAGGAATTCTTTCTCTGGTGGTTATGATTCTGAATCATTCTTCTTACCCATCACTCTTTCTTTATGCCTATGGCATCTGGAGGGGTGTGCAGGTACAGCTCCTTTCCAGAAAGAAAGGGTAAAGTGATTCTTACCCAACTGTGAACACACATGGAGTCACCCTTCACTTTCTACCCAGGCGCCTAGCCCAGGTGAGTGAGAGATGCCTTCTTTGTCCTCCCTCCGTGTTCTATCCTCTGCTTCAGTCTTTTCTACCCCTCTGCTTCATCCTAAGATAGCAGATTCACTCTCAAGGCCAGCCAAAGGGCCTTGGTGTTGGCCTAATTGTAGAGGGGTGGCTGCAGCTAGTCCTGACTCTGTGTTACTGGATAGGTTTGAAGCCTTTCTGAATGAAACAATTTTAAAAAGACTAGATTTTCTTCTTCTTCCCCCCTCCTCAACCGCCTGACCAGGGATGTAACCCAGGCCCCCTGCAGTAGAAGCATGGAGTCCTAACCACTGGACCACCAGGGAATTCCCCCAAATGACTAGATTTTTCTCCTGCTTATATGTATTTTTTTAATTAATTAATTTAATTTCTTTATTTTTGGCTATGTTGGGTCTTTGTTGCTGCGCGCGGGCTTTCTCTAGTTGCGGTGAGCAGGGGCTACTCTTCGTTGTGGTGTGCAGGCTTCTCATTGTGGTGGCTTCTCTTGTTGCAGAGCTCGGGCTCTAGGCGCGCGGGCTTCAGTAGTTGTGGCTCACAGGCTCAGTAGTTGTAGCTCACGGGCTCTAGAGCACGGGCTCAGTATTTGTGGCGCAGGGGCTTAGTTGCTCCGCGGCATGTGGGATCTTCCTGGACCAGGGCTCGAACCCGTGTCCCCTGCATTGACCGGTGGATTCTTAACCACTGCGCCACCAGGGAAGGCCGATCCTGCTTATCTTGACCAGCTTTTGCAGCATAGCTTTGATGCCATTGTTTTGCTCACAAGGTGTTTTTTTAAACTAGTTCTTAACTTACCAATGACCTTTTCCCCACTGGGAAGATGGAGGAAGGAAAAAAATGAGTAAAAGGGAAAGATCACATCCTATTACATACTAATGAATCATGGCTAGATTAGAGGGTAGACTGCAGAATCTGTCTCCCCCCCTACCCCCCTGCTAAACACCAGACTTCAAAGAATTCTGGTCAAGTAGTCACTAAGCTCCCAAGGGTCCATGTCCACAGCTCTCTGCAGCACAGTGGAAACATTTGAGAAGTGCCGTATTATTATTTCTAATAATTTAAACTGGTATTCTATTTAGTAACCAGTAGGATTAGAGGAAAAATTGCAGACAATGTGTTTTACTTGATGCTTGGAGGGAAAAGGGGAGACATCTAACGTAATTGACAAAACCTTTTGGTTGACAAACCAATTGCCATTCCTCCTTCGCTTCCCTGCTCACAGCACTCTGGTTTTGTTCAGGAAGCTTAGGGAGCCATCTACTTCAGAGGAGGCTCTCCTTGCTCTCTGGAGATGAATCTTGATTAGTCTTAAACCAATCGTAGTGATCCTATTTCTCTTCCACTGATAGGTTAGCAATGGGCATGGGATAGTTTCAGTCAATGAGACATGAGGGGAGGTCTGTAGGAGGGAGGCTTTCTGGAAATGCTTGTTCTTAATAAAGGATACTTGGAAAGATAAAAGATCCCTTTTGTGCCTCAGGGTGGTGCTCCCTGCATGTGGTAGCTGGATCTGGGGGAGCCACGTTGGAATCATGAGGGGGAGCAGTGAACCCCCTGAGGAGGACAGGAGAAGACACCTGAGCCCTTGAAGATGTTCTAGAGACACTTTATTAACCACACCTGCAGCTGCTTCCCATCCAGACTTTCTCTTCTGAGAGATAGTATACATCTTTATGGGTTAAGTGATTTTTGAGTTGGGTCTTCTCTCACTCATAGATAAATGCGATTCCTTACATTTACACAGTACTTTGCAGATTTCCATCCCTCATAAATTGCTTCCCTTGATCCTCCTAGAAACTCTATGGAGGTAGGCAAGACATCTTACAAATAAGGAAATTGAGGTTCAGAGAGTAGGGGCATGAGTGGCCCTACAACCAGGGTGGTCTGATTTCTACTCCAGGGTTTTTCATCAAACCACATGGTGACTCCAGGTGTGTTGTCAAATACTGAAGGTGGGAGAATTTCTTGGAAACTCTTGGGGAGGGAGAGAACATACTGCTGGAAACATTTCTCCTACTTCACTTTTGCCTCAGGTCAACTCAGATGAATTTTGCAGGCGGGGCGGGGGGGGTGTTTTTCTTAATACTGGCCTTTTCTTTATCCCCAACTCAGTGTGTGCCAAGCTGAAGTTAATAGCTTACAAAGCTTAGCCTCCAGGGTTTACTGCTCTTGGAAGATCTGATTCATGCATGAGTCCTTCTTTATTTCAGGCTCAATGAAAACTGGAATTCTTTCTTTAGTGCCCTGCTTTACTTGACGGACTATGTTTGTAATTTTCCCGCTAACTTCCTGTATAGAGGTGGATAGAAAGAACCTAGTTCTCTGACGTTCATTCAGACCGATCCTGTTTCAGGTCCCCCTTCGCTTCCTTCTCCATGTTGTTCCATGCCTCCATCCTGGCCTCAGATCTTTTGGATGTTTCTCCTATTACGTCCTCGCCTCTGACTATGTCATGTTCTCTTGTTCCTTGGCTCTCTGTTCTCTCACTGATTCTCCTCTTCTATGTTTCCCTTCTTGCTTTCTCTCTCACTTCTCTCCCTGCTCCTTTAAAAAAATTCCAGTACCTTTCCCTTATTTCTGGTTCCTGTCTCTCACCTGCTCACCTCTTCCCTCCATCTTTACCTTTCTAAGCTTTTAGTCTACTGTTGACTCTTCTTGACTGGATTTACAGTTTTTAGACTTGACAAGTCCTCACAAAGTCAC